GGGCTCCCTGCTAGGCGGGGAGCCTGCTTCTCCCTCTGCCTCTGCCTCTCTCTCTCTGACTTTCATGAATAAATAAATAAAACATTAAAAAAAAAAACAAGACTTTGTGGTGCTTCTTATAAAAAAAAAGTTTCATATGGCCTTTAATATCCACTGCTTCACTTAGCATGCTGAAAAATGAAATAATCAGGGTGACCTCCAGGTTCTCTCATATATAAGATGCTCTCTTACTTTCTTTAACTTATTCCTGCCACATTTTCTTTTCTTTTGGGTATATTAATTTTATAATTTCAATATGACTTACAATGTATTTGGACCTTATATACCTGTTGAAAAATGATGTGTAGATTAGTTTTTAAGTTTCATCCTTCCCTTAAAAAGGAAGATTAACCAAACCTTGACCCTGAATCGTCATCAAAAACCATTAATTATGAAGCAGAATAAAAATACGATACCTGAGCTGTTAAGATATCTGGGGTCCATTCTTTGTAATCTAAAGAGGCTGAATCAAGTACAAACATATTAGAACATGCAACATTGAACTAAAATAAGAACAAATGAACTAAAATAACATTAATGTTAAAATTAGGATATTGAGTTTTGGTTAATATATCAATAACATGAAGGAGATTTAGTAATTCATTTAAGGCAATGGGGGAAGAACTGGATTTGGAGTTAGACACACTTAGGTTCAAAACTCTGGACAAATTATTCAGTTTCCTCATATATAAAACAGGGATAATAGTACCTATTTTAAAGATTTCTTATCAGGATTAAAATAATGTACATAAAAAACTAATACAATGTTTGACATACAATAAATGTTGTCACTCTATAAATAAAATCATTCAACATTTATTCAGAATTCACTATGGGCAAAGCACTCTGCTAGATTCCCAGGATACAGAGGTCACTTAGACAAAATATTAACAGAATGTATTAAGTATTGTGATAGAGATATACATAGAGTACTATAAGAACGGGAAAAAAGGACATCTAGTTCTTCCTGGAGGGATCAATGAAGGTTTCTCAGGGGCAATGACACATAAACGGAGTCTTAAAGGATGATTAGGAATTGTGAGGGAATCAGTTGTGAGGAATTGTGTGAGAAGTTATTCTAGGCAGAGGAAAATCGCATATGCAAAAAAAAGGAGTCATTTGAGGACTGCAAATAGTTTGTTGCTGTTGTTGTTTTTAAGTAGGCTCCACACCCAGCAGGGAGCCCAATGCAGGGCTTGAACTCACAACCCAGAGATCAAGACCTGCGCTGAGATCAAGAGTTGGACTGGATGCTTAACCGACTGAGCCACCCAGACACCCCGACTGCAAATACAATATGACTGCAACTAGTTTTATGGTACGTGTGAGGTTTTTATTTATTCATTCGATCAGCAAGTAATTATCGAGCACTTTTTATGCCAGATAGTGTACTAGGTCCTGAAAACACATCAGTGAACAAAACAGAAAAGTCTTCTGCCTTTTGGAATAGTACGTACATTCAAGAGGGCATATAATAAACAGATAAATATGAAACAAATACAGGGAGTGAAGAGTGCTATGAAAAAAATTTAAGCAGGGTAAAAGAATCAAGAATGACAGAGGACTTTAAATTGGATGACAAGGGAAAGTTTTTCTAAGGAGATGACATGTGACTTGAGTGGATTGTGGGAGTCAGCAAGGCAAATATTGGGGAGAATATCATTTGGCAGAAAAGAAACAATAAGTACAATGGCTCTCAGGCAGGAACAAGATTAACTTGTTTGCAGAACAGCAAGGCCAATGTAGCCAGAGAAAGAGTGAAGAAGGGAAAGAGAACTAGGAGATGAGCTCAGAGATGTGGCCAGATCATGAGGGGCATGTTGAAGACTCTGGAAAATATCTAGAGGTAGATGTACCATGAGAATGGACAGCTAGCCCTAGATCTTTGGAGCAAGCTGATGACTGCATGAAGTAGGCTGTTTCCCACCAACACCATTGGAACAAGAATCCACTGATTGCCATGTTCTTCTACATATGCATATCCCCTTGGCTTTCATCTTTATCCTCTTGGCTATTTTCTTTCCCCTCTTCTGGATCAAGGTCCTAGATTATTGATGGACACAGTTTTCCTTTACTAAATACATAATATTCCCAAGACCTGTATCCTTGAAAATTACTGGACATAGGACTAATTCTTCATTCACTGGTAAGGTTGAGCAAACCCTACCCAAATTAAAGGAAAAAAAAACTTGATTATATAAGGACGATTGTGTTACATGTCCAGCTATTTTTATTTCCAGTATAGTTAATGTACAGTGTTATATTAGTTTCAGATGTAACAATATAGTGATACAACAATTCTGTATCCGTTGTCCAGTTTTTAAAATCTAGGAATGTAGTTTTGAAATGCCTTGCAAACTCCCATCATTTTTGTCTTGGTGTCTGTCTGCATTGCAGTTACCAGGTATATGATCTTTCGAGTCTTAAATGCTGCTGCACAGCCACTGCTACACTAGATGATTTACAAATGATTATCCAACAAAAAAGAACAAGAAGGGCTGATACTTATAGAGGTTAATAAGACTACCATGAAAATGTCAATACATAACTGCGACTTAAATAGCCATGCAGATCTGAATTGATTATGTTCCCAGAAAAATAATATTCTTTCTTCCAGCATAGGCTAAAGAATGACCAAAAGACGGGGAGGGGGGGGCTACTGAGAAATGAAGCAAAAAGTAAAATGATCAACTGTACTATTGATACGCAACACAAACAATTCAAACTCTTATTGTTTTAGCAGGCGCTTTAGACTCATATGTTGCAAGACCACAAACTATTTAACTGTAACTCTGTGCAGACTCATATGTTCTAGTAATTCACTTAGTTTACAAATTCTTATGAAATCCCTGCCCATGCTAATAACATCCAATATAAAGGCACCCTATGATTAATACCAGTCCCCTCCCAAATCCTATAAGTATCTTTCCCTAACTACCCCATTTTGAGACATTACTGAGACTGTGTTACTGGGATGCGTCCCCTTATCAGCAACTTTAACAAATCCAGATTTTTATGATTGATAGGTTTTCAGTAGTGCTATGTTTCAGTCTGTCTTTGGGTGAGCTTGTGCCCATGGATTGTGAAATTTACCAGTGCTTCTCAGTTGTTGTTGTTGTTGTATTTTATTGAAGTGTAGTTAGCACATAATGTTACATTAGTTATTATGTACTATATGTACAACATAGTGCTTCTACAACTCTATTTTTATGCTATGCCCGCCACAAGGGTAGCTACCATCCTACCATCTGTCACCATACCATGCTATTACATTACCTTTGACTATATTCCCTATGCTGTACCTTTCATCCCTGTGACTTATACATCCCATAACTAGAAATCCTGTACCTCCCATTCCCCTTCACCCATCTTGCCCATCCCCCCACCTCCTGCCCTCAGGCAGCCACCAGTTTGTTCTCTGTATTTAGAGAGGGTCTTTCTTCTTTTGTTTGTTTGTTCATTTGTTTTGTTTTTTAGATTCCACATGTAAGTGAAATCATATGGTATTTGTCTTTCTCCGTCTGACTTATTCCACTTAGCGTAATGCCCTCTAGGTCCAGCCATGTCATCACAAATGGCATGATTTTATTCTTTTTTATGGCTGACTAATATTTTATTCTGTATATATACCATGTCTTCTTTATTCATCTGTCGATGGACACTTTGGTTGTTTCAATATCTTGGCTATTATAAATGATGCTGCAGTAAACTTAGGAGTGCATATATTTTTTTGAATTAGTATATTCACTTTTTACCCAGTATTGAAATTATTGGATTGTGTGGTATTTCTATTTTTAATTTTTTGAGGAACCTCCATTCTGTCTCCCACAGTGGCTGCACCAGTTTGCATTCCCACCAACAGTGCACAAGGGTTCCCTTTTCTCTACATCCTTACTAACACTTGTTATTCTTGTCTTTTTTATACTAGCCATTCTGACTAGCCATTCACTGCAAATGATATCTTGTGGTTTTGATTTGTATTTCCCTGATGATTAGTAATGTCGAGCATCTTTTCCTGTGTCTAGCCATCTGTATGTATGTCTTCTTTGGAAAAATGACTTTTCAGGTCCTCTGCCCATTTTTTAGTCAGATTATTCGTTTTTTTGGTGTTAAATTGCATAAATTCTTTATATATTAGATTTTAATCCCTTATCAGGTATATCATTTGCAAATATCTTTTTCCATTCAGTAGGTTGCTTCTTAGTTTTGTTTTTTGGGGGGGGGGTTGTTGTTGTTTTTCTTGCTTAGGTGGGACAGGGTAGGCAGAGGGGGCTGAGTTGTCTTTTTTTTTCTCCCAGGTAGTTTAGCCTCTGATAAAATTGCAGCAGATTAGACTCTGGTAAAGTAGTTTCTCCTGAGGGTAGTCCTTGTTAAGAAGAACAGAATGCTCTGGCATATATTGAAAGGGTTCCTTTCCCCTCCTCTTGCTAGAAACACCAAGGGAATTTTCTCTGGTATTCACTAAAATGTCATGGTAGTGCTCCCATAGATAGAACTAACAAAAGTGTGGGAACCTCCCCATACCTTGTCCACATTGAGCCTCCAGCAATTTGTCAATTACAGTTTAGGTTTCCACACCCTGGGACTGGTTCCTGTGGTGGTTTCTGCTTGTGGGTTGTGCCCTTGTAAGTTGTGATTCTCTGTGTTCACCTGTCTGTCTCACCAGTTTGTTGGGGGGGAGCAATGATTTGTCCTGTAACCTCACTTTTCAGACAGATCTAAAAGGAGTTGATTTTTCAGTTTGCCCAGGTTTCTACTTGTTGTTACATTGGAGTGGTGCTATGGGACGAGAAACCAGAAGACTGGACATACTGCTTTGGGGTGCTCAGGAGACACCCAAATGGAGCTATCCAGTATACCAAAGGATATTAATATGGCTTTCAATAAGCTAGAGGTACAGATCCAAATAATATGAGGGTTTAAGTAGTTGACAAATCATGGAGTTTATGAAGTTAACCTGGGAGTAAGCTCCCAAGACTGAGACAGAATCCTGGGGAATTCTAACATTAAAGAGGCAGCATACAATTTTGAAAGAGCACTGAAGATATAGTCACTCTCTGATAAAATTAAGTTTTCACAGATACTTTGTTATTGCTCATATAAATTTATCAAAGTTCATTACCTTTTATTCTTTTACACCCACACCTCCCACACCCCAATTAACTAAAGCAATTATATTACATAATCTGCTCATCCTGGGGCAATAGTTAACATGGAGACTTTTCAAAAGTAGAATAAAATATTTCAAACTACCTTTTAAATAAGGTTTTATAGAGTGTTCTATATATTCTCTTTAAAAAATCTCACTTTAAAGCAAAGATATTTTATTCCAGTTGGCAGTCCAGAGAAAGTTTTGAGTACCAAATTCTAAACCTCCAAAAGCAGGATTAAAATCTTAGATACTGAAAGATTCCAAGAACCAGTTGCATTTCTGCATGCTACAGTAAAATGAAGGCAGGAGGGACACATCTGCCAAACTTTATATTATAATTAAATCACTTTGTACTGACATAGCTTTATTTTAGAGGAGAATGTTTGTGGGGATTTTTAATCAGATAAAAATAGGGCTGCTGTTTTCTCTATACCAATTAACATAGTTGACATTTAGCCAGATCTGCCCTGGACACAGCAGGGATGTACAGTTTGTCCTGATTCTGTGGGAAATGAAAAATGCAGTACTTGGCACAAGAAAAAATATGTGAACCCAAAAAATGTTGTCAAATATAGCAAGTCAAATTAAGAAAATTGATTTACTGAAGGGCAGTCTATGCTTTCTAGAAAACAAAGGAGAGAGGAAGACTCTCTGGACGACTCAAAAACATGATGGACCTTGAGTTTAACATAAATACTATATGCTAATGACTAAGCATATTTGGTTAAAGACATTTTTCTACAACTCAATTAAATATGCAGTATTTCTTACCATGAGTTGAAGAAAGAAACTGCTAGTGGCTCATACACAGCATATAAAGACATGTTAAAAAATTTTGCACAGTAAGTCTGCTTAGATGACATCTAATCAAATTCTTTCATTTATGGATGAGGAAAATTGGTCCCAGGGATGTTAAATTACTTTCATAGAATAACACTGATACATTGCCCTCACAGATCCTTTGGTTCTCAAAAACTTTATGGGAACATCACAGCTATCGTAACATTTCCAATAACCAGAGTGCTTGAAGAATAGTTTATTGTAGTTCATTGAAACTTATGATTAACTAATGATGTGAAAGAAAAGTGGTTTTTATTTATAATTTCTTAAAAATTGATCTAAGGTATTTTACCTCATAGTTCCAGCTTTATAAGTAGTAGGTTGAA